CCGGCTAGTTTTTTGTATTTTTTAGTAGAGACGGGGTTTCACCATGTTAGCCAGGATGGTCTCGATCTCCTGACCTCGTGATCCGCCTGTCTCGGCCTCCCAAAATGCTGGGATTACAGGCTTGAGCCACCACGCCTGGCCTAATTTCCTTTTTTAAAAAAATTCTTGGCTGCGTGCAGTGGCTGATGGCCTGTGACCCCAGTGCTTTGGGAGGCCAGGACAGGAGGATCACTAGAGGCCAGAAGTTCATCAAGACCAGCCTGGGCAACATGTTAGTGAGACTCCGCCTCTACACAAAACAATGTTTTAAATTAGCTGAGCATGGTGGTACATGCCTGTAGTCCCAGTGACCCAGGAGGCTGTGGCACAAGAATTACTTGAGGAGTGTTGGAGTTTTGAGGCTGAAGCAAGCTATGATTGTACTCCAGCCTGGGTGACAGAGTGAGACCCTGACTCAAAATTCTTAACTGGGAAAAACTTTTCTGGAAATTCTATGGATTTTCAAAGGTTTTTTGTTTTGTTTTGTTTTTTTTAAGTTGTCATCTTAGTTTATCTAGAAGATAGTTTCCCTGCCTCCATAACCATGTGCACATACGTAGAGTTTGTGGAAGTCAGAGTCTGCAACAATTTGAGTAGGGACCAGAAGAGAGTAACACAACAAAATGATGATTAGGTTTGGGGCATAGGTCTTACTATGAGTACCTGATGGAAGTAGGCATAAGGATTCAGGAAGATGAAAGATAGAGGAGAACAAAATCATGATTTCAAACCAAAATACAAAAAATTTTGTATGCCTGCAAGTAGCCAGGTCCCTTCCCTGTTTTCCTCCATGGGGGATAGGATAACAGAAAAGTCCTTGATGAGATTATAGAATTTAAAAGTTTGGAAATTTTAATGATGACATTGAGAAAACTATGATATTGATACTGTGTTAATTTTTTTTTTCTTTTGTCAGCCAAAACCAGAAAATGATGTTAGAGCAGGAACGTCTAAGAGTAGAACATGAGAAGTTGAAAGCCACAGATCAGGAAAAGAGCAGAAAACTACACGAACTTACGTGAGTAATTGTTTTTAATTAAAGTTTAAAAATAAAAGCTAAATTAGAGAATTATAGGCATTACCCTTAGATATAGCCAGTGGATACATATTTTACTTTGTATGGGCTAAAGGATTTTTTCTTAAATCCACTGAGTTGGTTTGATTTATATCTAAACACTTGTAATATATACTTGTATTTAGTGAAAGCAAGGTCTTATATTTCATTGTGGTTAAGATTTAGATTTCTGTTTATCAATCTGCTTGCTGTTTCTTTATCTCCATATTACTTCAGGATCCAGCATAAAAATGAACCTAAAACAATATGTTAAGTAATTTAGAAGATTTTAAGATCTATCACAAAAACTGACTTTTTGTTAAATTTTCTTTTGCATAAAAGAGCATCGTGGTTTTTAGCCTTGCCATTTTGAACAGAGGTTTTCATAGTTTATCTTTTCTTATTTTCTCAAAACTCAGTTTTCTAGAATCTTAGGTAGAAAATTCATGATTATAATTTTTCACATACCTTGAGTTTGTGAGACAATTTGCAAATGAACTGTGATATTATTAGGATAGTTGGAACATCAGGACCAGTTCAGAGTGGATTTTATGAAGATTCTGCTAACTTGCAGCTGTGATTTTGTTTAGAATACTTGATAGTTTATAATCTATAATCAATCAGTATCATTTTGGATAAATAGCAGTATAATATATGTGGCATATTTTAAAATATAAATTAGAACCATTCCTTGTTCTTTGAATTCTGCCACATTTTATTTCATCTCTTCCATTGCTATATATGGAATGTATAACAATAAACTTGTTTTAGAAGGCATGTGAAAATTTTTTGAAATCGCCCAGGTGCAGTGGCTCACACCCATAATCTCAGCACTTTGGGAGGCCAAGGCAGGAGAATCAGTTGAGCCCAGTGTTTGAGAATCAGCCTGGGCAATATAGTGAGACCCTGTCTCTACAAAAAATTTTTCGACAGGCCTGGTTGTACATGCCTATGGTCCCAGCTACTTGGGAGACAGGTGAGGAGGATCACTTGAGCCCAGGAGGTTGAGGTTGCAGTGAGCAGTGTTTGGGACAGAAACCCTGTGTCCAAAAAAAAAAAAAAGACAGCATGGATAAATTGTTTAAAATAGGCATGTTGTATTTATTTAAGAATTTATCCTTTCAGATACAAAAGATTTTATTCAACTCTCATGCTAAGTACAGTTTTACAGAATAAAATTTGAAAATATATGTTTGTTCTTCTACTGTTAGGGTTATGCAAGATAGACGAGAACAAGCAAGACAAGACTTGAAGGGTTTGGAAGAGACAGTGGTAAGAAAAACATGAAAATAAATAGGATTTGGGAATATTTTGTGTGTTTTTTTCTACCATGATTATTCTAAATTTAAAGTCTGAACTCCAAAAATATCACTGTTCTTAATCCAAGGCAAAAGAACTTCAGACTTTACACAACCTACGCAAACTCTTTGTTCAGGACCTGGCTACCAGAGTTAAAAAGGTAAAGTAACTATGCTGAGGTGGGTGTTTGCATAAATGGTGCTTGCTTCTAGGTAATTCTTTGTATTCAAAGTGAAATAACTTTACAGTCATGTCAATTTTTGTATAGTTAAGCTTAGATTTTTTTTTTATTTTTTAAATTTTCATAATCTTATTGACCTCTTTTCTCAGAGTGCCGAGATTGATTCTGATGACACCGGAGGCAGCGCTGCTCAGAAGCAAAAAATCTCCTTTCTTGAAAATAATCTTGAACAGCTCACTAAAGTGCACAAACAGGTACTAAAGAGTATATTTTCTGGTAGCTGCAAGATAGTAAAAATAAAAAATCGAGGATTGGCAAGTGAGTATTTCAATCTTTCAGAGTCCTCAGGAATGTTTATATGCTGAGCCATTTTATCAGAAATTATATAAAGAAACCACAAGTAACTTTTAGAGGAGTTAGTATTTTTAACAACCTTATTACCAAAAGAGGCAGTAAAAACATGTATTCTCATTTTCTCTTTAGGATTTTAAGACTGGATTTTCATAATTTATTCATGGTAATTTTGAAATCTCTACTACACAAGACTGCAGTTAAAATACTGCAAAGTCTTTTGGGGAGAGTGGTCTTTTTATATCTAATACCCCAGTGTGTCAAATATAATGAAGCAGTTTTCATTTCACCAGATTAGTTGTCTTACTGAAGAAACATAGCACTATCTTGTATTGTCTTTGCTTAGTAGAGGGAGAGAACAATTCTTCCCCTAAAAAGTTAAAAGAAACTATACCTTTGTCAATAAATAGATGTGTGTATGATTTGTAGAGATGGATGTATTCCGTGTGTTTCTGCCTAAATTAGATAAATGGGAAACAATATAAAATGCAGTTTTACTTCTTTTCTAAAGAGCAATTATGAAATGCTCGTACTTTTTCAAATCATCCTGTTAAATCTGGAATCCTTGTTTTGTTTGTGTACGTTTAGTTGGTACGTGATAATGCAGATCTCCGCTGCGAACTTCCTAAGTTGGAAAAGCGACTTCGAGCTACAGCTGAGAGAGTGAAAGCTTTGGAATCAGCCCTGAAAGAAGCTAAAGAAAATGCATCTCGTGATCGCAAACGTTATCAGCAAGAAGTAGATCGCATAAAGGAAGCAGTCAGGTCAAAGAATATGGCCAGAAGAGGGCATTCTGCACAGATTGGTTAGTAGAACACATTAAAACCTTTAAACCTTGCTCAATTTGAATGCTTGCGTTTAGCTGAAAACATAATCCGAATTTTATGTGTTGTCATGGTGCATCTGTCTTTATTTTCTAACTTAGCAAAGAGTGGCACTGTTGGGAGAGAGGAATAACCACATTAGCAGAACAAGAAGATAAATGAGAACTAGAGAAGCAAGCAAGAATGGTCATGGAATGGAGAAGCTATATAGAGCGGTATTATTAAAGCCAAGAGAATTGCAAGAAAATAAGCCATCAGCAATGATTTAATGTTTAAGAATGATCATTAGTGGCCAAGCGCGGTGGCTCACGCCTGTAATCCCAACACTTTGGGAGGCCAAGGCAGGTGGGTCACCTGAGGTCAGAAGTTCGAGACCAGCCTGACTAACATCATGAAACCCTGTCTCTACTAAATACAAAAAAAATTAGCCAGGCATGGTGGTGAACACCTTTAACCCAGCAACTTGGGAGGCTGAGGCAGGAGAATCGCTGGAACCCAGGAAGTGGAGGTTGCCAAGATG